CCTTCACATCTGAGAGAGGAAACCCTTTTGTTTAGTTAGTTAGTGCCTGGATGGCAAGGGTTTATTTTCATGTTTTGTTTATTTTCTGCAAACCTTTTAAATAAAGCTGACAACCAGTCAGATTTTGATGAAAGCCTGCTGTGCGGTCTACCTTTGTCCCAGGGAAGGAGATCCCCCCCACCTGAGCTAACCCCACAATATATATATCTCTCTCTCAAGTCTACAGTATATTTTTTTTAATACAAGAAAAGATTTTGCTTGCTTTAGAAACTGCAGCTTGGCATTGCATGCTATTATTAAGCCTATGATCTACCAGAACACCCCAATCCATCTCGACCATTAACTCCCCCAGTTGTTCTCCTGTTAATACGATGTGATGCATAATGTTTTTAGCCCCCAAGTGCATCTATCATCATTTAACCTCGTTTGCCACATAGTTGCCCAATTAAACAGTGCATTTAGGTTTGCTTGTACAGTAAGCTGGAAATATCCTGTAAGGACATTATTCTACTGCATAGCTTGGTGTCTTCTACAAATACAGAAATGGGACTTTTACATTTTAAACTCTATATCATTTACACATACAGTATATTAAAAAGTAATGGTTGCAACACTGAACCTTGGGGTACATCACTAATAACGTTAGACCATTCAGAGTATGAGTCATAAACCACTACTCTCTGAATAAAGTCTTTGAGCCAATTTCCTAGCCATTTACAGACTGACTTTTCCAAGCCCGTAGTCTTTAACTAACCAATTAGCTGTGAGTGGGGAACTGTCAGATGCTTTTGCGAAGTCCAGATACACTATGTCCACAGCCACTCCTTTGTCTAAGTTTTAGCTTACTTGGAAATTACTTGAAAACTGCGGTCTTTCATCAATCCATGCCGACTACTGCTTTCTATTACTTTCCCAACTATAGAAGTTAAACTAATAGTTTTGTAGTTATTTGGTGTAGGGTTTGATTATTTTTTAAGCATAGGCAATATATTGGCCTTCTGCCGACAAGTGGTACCAAGCCTGTCAATACAGAGTCTCTAAAAATTAGAAACAATGGCTTTGAAATGGCCAGAAGCTTTACTCGCCTTTATTTTCTATAAATGTTTCTGGACCATATCAATTTTGAGCCATTGTGGTTCTTTTGGAGTTATTGTCAGTATTATCGCCATAAAAGACTTGAGCTGCCCTTTTGCCTTTGCATACAAACAGCTGAAAAAGTATTTAAAGGATACGTAAACCCTTGCCTTCTCTTTATTCCCATTCATCAACTCTGAGTTTATCTTGTACAGGTCCTATGTGCGCAGATCTGGTCTTTTTACTATTTATTGAAGAACTTGTTAGTATATGCTGCCATGGTCGCAGTACTGCAAAAACAATACCATGGGTTGCATTCTGGAGACAATACCTCCACCAAACAAGACCTATTCTACTGAAAGGGGCTGTGTGGCAACCCCCCGCAATCTGTGTGTAATGCACGAGGTTGCGGAGTGGCATAGCGGATATTTAAGTGTTAAAAAAGGCAGCCAGGATGCGATATATCACCTGCAACCTAACTGTTACATGCAGTAATGATGTCCAAAAGTGTAAACAAGCTATTAGGTCCCGTTCACATCTCGTGTAGTGAGAACATGTGCTCCTGCCCTGATTATTTACAGAGATTAACATGCATTTCTTCGTGTCACACCTATAATCTATACACGTTTGTCAGGCAAAAAAGCTAAAGGACTAAAATTTGACCCGGAGCCAGGTGTGCTTTTACATGCACTTTTTGCCATGATTTTTGCACGTTTTGTCACACAACAATTGTGGCTAAATTTCAGCACGTTTGGGGTTCCATTTTGAATTTTAGCATGATGTGGAATTGCAAGCAGAATCACACCGATACTGCCCAGGATTCCAAATCACTTAAATGTGAATAGGGCCTTAGAGTCCTTGTTGTAATCTCTAATAACAAATAACTTTACAATAAAAACCGCTACATAGGTCAAGAAGTTTGTTGTATAGCATTGCACTGGTTTTTAAGAATATGTAAATAGTTTTATAGTCTAGGCACATGTGCACTTTAAAGAGGGTATGTTACTTAAAGTGGAGTTCCACCTATAAAAAACAAACAAAAAAAAAGCAGCTACAAAAACTGTAGCTGCTGACGTTCATAAGACAGACAATTACCTGTCCCTCGGTCCAGCGGTGTCCTCACTACGGCTGATTTCACTGGTCGACTTTTCTCCCCGGCATCTTCAGTGTGGGCACTCAGCTGTGACAGCTTGTGGCTTCACAGCCGGGTGCCCACTGCACATGCGTGAGAAGCACTGCACTTTGTGAATGGCCCTGCAGTCTTCTGGGACCTGTCACATGTTCCAGAAGGCTACAGGGAGAGAGGAATGGGGGTAACTTTCAGGTAAATTTGTAGTGTTTTAATATTATATGCAAATATTCAGCACTGATGCCAACATTCATGCACTTAGGTGTACCTGATCACAAAGATTAGTATGGCCTACACAGTCATTAAACAAAATAGAAGGTACCTTGCCAGGCTAATATGCCTCCCAGTAATCACACTGCTTTATGTACTACACAGGCTGAAATTATATACCCCAATTCCAAAGAGTTGAGACGGTTTGTAAAATCTACATAAAAAAAACAGAAAGCAATGATTTGCAAATCTCATAAACCAAACGAAAATTTACTAATTTAGAAACAAAAATAAGGCAATTTTAAAACTGATGGCAACAACACCACCATTGTTCTCTATGGGGAGGCGGATGTAAACGGACATGTGTACATTTACACCTGCCTGCATCCTATCCAGTTCCCCAAAATCAGACGGATGGGGATACGTTCACCATTCATTGATCAGATGACAGTCAGCTGTAATTAGACAGGTGGTCCATTTACATCTCACTGCCCCAAAGAAAATCAGCAGGCTGTGTCGGCTGAGTAGCCAGATCTGCTTGACGGAGTTCACCCCGTGTGAAAGGGGCCTTACAGAGTCACAGTGCTTCAGAAGTAAAGATGGGCAGAGGTTCACCAATCTGTGAAAAGCTGCATCAAAAAAAAGCTGAACAATTTCAGAATAATGCAACTCAATGCAAAATTGCAAAGACTTTCAATATATCATCTAGAGCACATCATGTTATCAAAAGATTCTGAGAATCTGGGGAAACCCCTGTGCGCAAAGGACAATGCCAGAATGAAATATTGGATGCCCATGATCTTCAGGTCCTCAGGGGACACTGCATTAAAAACAGGCATGATTATATGATGAATCAATGCATGGGCTCAGGAATACTTGCAAAAACTGGTTTTGGTTCCCGATCAACTGATCATTGTGACAGGCTCGCTTTGGCCACCATAGTGATCAGCCGCTGTATAACCCTGTGTTTTTTTTCTCCTCTTGAATGGAGAAAAAGAGACACTGTGGTTGATTTACTAAAACCAGAGAGTGCAAAATCTGGTGCAGCTGTGCATGGTAGCCAGTCAGCTTCTAACTTCAGCTTGTTCAATTAAGCGTTGAGAAAAAAAACTGGAAGTCGATTGGTTTCTATGCAAAGATGCACCAGATTTTTCCCTCTCCACTTTTAGTAAATCAAACCCATTGTATTTTTTTTAACCTTGCTAGAGGAAAAAAACTGTAAAAAGAAAAAAAAAAAGTGCGTTAAATTGCTTACCCGCTGCCCTATAGCGGATATACTGCTACAGGGCGGCAGGGGTGTGCAAAATCACATATATATTTCCGGTTTAGAGAGAGCGTGTGAGCCGCACGCACCCTACCCGCACCGCTATTTGTGGCCTCGGCTGTCAATCACTGGGTCCCGGAACCATTACCGACGGAGGGAGAGAACTGTGTGTAAACAATACAGTTCTCTCCCGTCAGCTCCTGCACACTGCTTTGCATGGCTTCAATAAAAAGAAGATATCCATTTACCATCAAATAAAAGCTCAATTTTCTTAAAAAAAAAACACGGTATTATTCACCTGGATACATTAAGAAATATGTCCAGTTTTACTAACATATGTCAAAGTTGAAAAACTTTGTTTAGGTGTTTAAATTTGTTTTATCTTCATCATGAAGGGGTTACTGTAGAACTATGGTCTACCAGAAAGAAAAAAAAATGTGCTGTAACAATTAAAAGTATCTGTAATTACAGTTCTCTTAGTCCCCCTGCAAAATCCCACAAAAACCTGCTGATCCTGCCAATGAAGCCCAGTTAATGCAGCTTCCTGTAATGAGGTGACAACGATGATGCGGTGCTGAGTTCACATTAGAGTTGCTACCCTCATGTAGGCTGTGCCTGCTTGTACTACAGGGGGTTGAAAAGATGTTATAGGGAGCGTGGCTATCAGCATTGTCACTGCTAATTCTCAAGCATATAGCTTGCCAATCAGTACCTAGCCACTCCAATCCATTTCCACTTCTCTATGAATTGGCAGCACTGTTGTGGAAACCCTTAAACTGTAGGCTGTAGTCCCTGGGAGGAAGCATAGGATCCAAAAGTAGTGTAAAGGAGAATTTGGCTTACTCTGGGAAAGTAAAGGAAGTATGAGCTTCACAGGATGGATGTGTGACTTTTCTGAGACCATCAAACAGGAGCCTTTAGATATACTTTAACAGCCAAACACTCAATGACCAAATCAGCAAAACACAAAGGTTGTTTTAAAACCTATAAACAATCTAAAGTGTGGTAAGAACTTGGCAGGTGAATGCAACGTACATGTTTTACATACCTAAATGCCCCCATGACAATCCTGCGATGTCATTTCATACCAGAAAAATACTGTTTTAACTGAATTAGAAGAATGACTAAAATTAGGACAACTGGTATTGATCAGTGACACTGTTGGATTTAATATTACATTTCTACAGCATTACCTTGTATGTGCTGGATGCTTAAACAGTTATGACATAAATCTCAGTAAAACAAGGCCTTTTTAAAAGAATTAACTTATGAATAAACTATGTTTAACACATGATCAGTCATGAATACCACAATCACACTTATTTAGGCCATAAATATTTTTTGTCGTCTTTGTATGATAGTACAACAAATGGGACATTTATCAAGAACTTCAGCACAATCTGAGCACACAACAAGGTGGCCACAGGGAATGAACACCACAGACACAGCCTTGTCCATACACACTTTGCAGATTTTTTCCTCCTCTAACTTCCTGAGCTTTTCTTCAATGCTGTTCTCTGTAAAGTAGAAAACAAATACCAATATTACTCAAAGGGGGAATTAAATATCAGACTAAAGCTGGCCATAGACAGTTCGAATCTCAACTAGTTCAGCAGATGCAAACCATGTATTGGCAGGCTGAATACACCCAAGTTGATCGATCAAATTGGGTACAACTAACTTGTTCCATTTTACATGTGATTATTGCTAGTGGCTATTATAGCCGCTAACAGTAATCACTGTGTTCTCCTTGCGGGGAGGACTCCCCACCGTCCCCTTGCTGGGAGAACGGAATGGCTTCATGGGAGCCAGTGCTGATGGGAGAATCGAGCAATTTTCTTTGGTTGCAGGGAAAAAAAACAAAAAAAAAAAAAACACAGTCTATGGCCGCCTTAACATGCTAAAACAATTTAGGTGACATTATATATACTGTAATTATTACTATAGCAATAAGAACCACTGTTGGCTAATATCACAGCCCTAAACATGTATTATAATATATTAGCCACATAGTCTCACTAGACAGCTGTGTTAACTGTACTTTATAAACATTTGAAAACGAGTGTTTTCATAACCATGCTGCTTATTTCCATCTCAGTTCTATATAGTTGACAAAGCACTAAAAAGTAACATGGAGTTCTGTTAGTTATACCATTGAAATGCATGTCAACAGATGTATACCTACACCTGTTTTAAGAGACAATATGGCCACAAACAAGAGAATTCTGCTGGGTGTGGACACCTCAAATATCAACACTATATTAAAGAAACGCTTTAAAAAAAAAAAAGCACAATCTGCAAGAGATGTCTAACACTTACTTGTCTCATTTATGTTACTCCAATTTTTGCTCTTTTCCAGAACAATGGAACCATCATAACGAACACTCAAGAGTTTTGGATGCCTGAATCCCTGCTGTGTTCTGTGGTTCCTCCCACCAACTACATCACTAAATGGGACAGTAGTGATGTAGGGGGTCAGCACAAGAAACCACAGCTCACAGAGGTAGAAAAAAAAAAAAACATCTGATACTCCTGGAAGCATTAAATGTAAATATTCTCTAGGAAACCATAGCTCTTGAATGGAATAAAAAATTGGAGAAACAGATGATAGGACAGCAGAGTGTAAACCCTCCTATTTTGCAGGTCCTGTTTCTGATTTAAAGTTCAGCTACAGGGTTACTTTATGGGGGAACCTATTAAAGGCAATGAAAAAGTCCTCCAAAGAGTGAGCAAGGGCAACGTAGAAAGAAGAAAAAAAGTAGCTAAAACCAAGGCTTCCCATAAACCCTTAGATACATTGTGTTCACCCTGCAACATGGACGGATGAATCTTCTTCTGTGGCTAGTGTGTTCTTACAGTCAGTGCCGCCAGTGCTTCCACCTGACTGTATGCACTTACTGTTAAGCCGACAATTATCCACTTAGCTCCCTCAATTTTTTAAATGAAAGATATTGGGAAGAGTGATGCAAACAGGTTCATCCCCTGATTGGATTTATTCCTTGCATGGCAAGCGTAAGACAACAGGATAATAGCAGGCAGGGAATATTTCCAACTCAGTTTTGTTATTGATATTTGGATGCGCAGTGTGCAGGAAAGAAAGCCCTTAAGGACTCTGAATTAGTACCTGACAGCAACCAAAGAAAAAAAGTGTCTAAAATCACAGATTGTCAGCTTTATTGGCTAATAACATGACTAGAACAAAAAAAAAAAAAAGATGCATTTTTTTTAATTTTTAATTTAGACAATTGTGATACATAAAGTCCAACATGTCATAACAGTTATGTTACGCCATGTTACGTTTTGTGTTAAGCATTTAACCTGTATCGTTAAACTATAGTATTTGTTCAGTGAACACGTGTCCTAAGTTACAATTGTAATGTTTAACTATTTATTATGATATTCAAAATGTTTACAAGCCTTTGAAAGGGAACCACTAGTGCTGACATCTGACCATTAACAGTACTCAAAGCCAAATGTTGACCCAGTCAGATTGGGGAAACGTCAGGATGCGTCCCTTGGAGTATTTCCTGGGATGAAGTGTCCTACCTCTTAGCATGCAAAGTACACTTTCCAAGTGCAATGGTAAACTTTGCAAAGGTAGATTTCCTAGCTTTGAGCAGGATAGGAACAACAGAATCAGATATGCCCAATCTTTTAGGATCTGGGCTTCAACAGCCATGCCTTCAAAGTCAGGGCCCGCAAAGCAGAGTGTGTGATGGAATGCCTGTCACCCTGAACAGGTGATTCTGTCAGAGAATTGCTTCTTTGCCACTGGGACACGGGACCAAGGTATTATAGCTGGGCATTGTACCCAAGAACTAGACGGCACTAGCTCAGGTGCAACTGGAACTACTTTATTGAACAGAAATACAGATTTTTATGCACTTCAGGAATAGGGGCAGTCCCCACATGAACAATTAAAACAATTATACATCAGGATAAACATTGCACAATGGTTTGGTAACAAGGTAAAGTGGACATAATACTAATCACATCTCCAGGAGGACTAGCAGATAGACAGAAACAATAGGTGACTCAATTAAAAATGGGAATACACACCTAAAAAGGCACACAATAGTAGAAAGACAGTAAAAAGACCTTAATAAACAGTTTAGAGAAAGAGTCCTCAGCATCAGGTTGTTTTGAGCCAGTTATATCAACATCTTCTTAGAGTCTCTGAGTCTAGGAAGGGGGGGGGGTTGAAGCAGTCAATGCTAGTTTGGGCACAGAGACCCCAAATCTGTATCCTGGTCTTCCAGTTTTCAAAGTCTGTGTGTGTTGAGGAGACATGGACTTGAATCCAATGTAAAAACTGCTCCAAATGTCCCCCCTACGCACACACCTCCCAAAGAATAGAGCCCCCTCAGATGCCAGTGCCATTGTCAGTAGGCAAGGGGCTAGACTACAGTCCCCTCCAAAAGCCCCTGTCCCGATTGGGTCTGTCACAGGGTTGTATGCTAGCGCTTGAGACAAAAGATTTGGACATCTGGAAGGACCCACAGAGAGTCTGTCAGGAGCCTTATGAGGTTTAAACACAACATACACCTGGACCGGTTTGGTGCAATTAGTATGATTTGAGTACCCTTCTTCTTTATTCTGCAGAGAAGGTGAGGAAGAGGTGTCAGCAGAGGAAAGAGTGAGATTAGGCTAAACTGATTTCACTGAATCACCAGGGCATCCACTGCAAACGCTAGATCATCCCTGGACCTTGGTAAAAACTTGTTGAAGTTTGTTGCTGCATATGGAAATCAGGAGGTCTTTGTCTGGTATTCCCCACCTGTGGTAAAGGTCTTGAAACACCTCTAGAAAGAGAGACCATTCCTCCAGATGCTGTTGACTGAGGAAGTTCGTCTGCCAACTTCTGTGCCTGAAATATGTAAGGCGGACAGAGCTAGAATCTGAAGTTCCACCCAAGTCAAGGTTCAGGGTGGCTTCCTTTTTGAGACATGAGACTTCATGTTCCTCCCTGATGTTTGATATATGACACAGCTGTTGCATTGTCTGACTGAACATTGATTAGATGACCTTGCAGGCAAGAGGTCCTGCATTGAAGTGAAAACCATATCGCTTGTAGCTCTAGTATGTGGATTGGGAGACAGCTTTTCTCTGGTGACCCTTGCATCAACAGGGTGTCCAGAGCTCCTACCCAGATTTTCAGGCTGGTACCTGTCATAAGAATATTTTAGACCACTGGAAAGAAGAACTACCATGACTCCAGGGCTAGATTTGTGAGCCACCAGGTCCTGGGTGTCAGGCACACTGGTAGGTCTAAAGATTGTACCTTCTTGTCCTACATAGCCAGAATGCTGAGTTTCAATTGCCTGGAGTGGAATTGAGTGTATAGGATTGCCTCACAGAATACCACCATTAAATCCAGCACTCTCACACAAAATAAGAGAGTTGGACAGATCCTGGACTGCAGAGTACGAATCGAGGATCAGAAAGTTAGGGTTTGTCCTGTGAAAGTAAAACTCTAGACTGAGAAGTATTCAAGATCTAACATAACCTTTGTCACGTCTGAACAGTCTTTTGGATATTAATCATCCGGGTCTGAGCAGACTGTTCTCTCTGCGGGAAATTGTCCAGATATCCTTCAATGGGAATTGCCCGTCAACGCACAGAGCAAGCACAGGGTCTAGCACCTTGGTGAATACTTGAGGTGCAGTGGACAGAACAAAGGGAAGGGCAACACAACAAACTGATAATGTTGTGAACCCACAGCAAAACAGGTTTAAGAAGAAACCTTTCCTTGTCATGAACAATGGCAATGACTCCTTGCGAGAAGACTTGTGCCAGCGCACTGTGGAGGTCTGTTAGCCTTAGTGGAAAGGTTGGCAGTTTTAATAACATGATGCTGGGCAGAGATAGAGACTGCAATTCTAACTTGTATCCCCAGGATTCCACATCTTTTGCCCACAAATCCAAGAAACGTTTGCACTTTGTGGTTGTAAAGGCTAAGAGACCCCCCCCCCTCCCCCACTTTGGGAAGTGAAGAGGATTTGCTTGCAAGCTTGGAAGGTTTGGAGGTCCAAGACTTGCAATGGAACAGAGTCCTGGTCTTGGAGGTCTGGCAGAAATAAAAAGGAACTCTAGCTTCAGAGGTAGGTTTTCCAGCAAAGGCTTGAGCTCTCTATTGACATCCTTGATAAACTTGTCCAGAAAAGCACAAATTCAGAGATGTTCTCTGTCAAAGTAAATTCATAGTAAATTTTTTTTGCACGGTTTTACAGACAAGCGGTTTAGCCAGAGTCCTCCACTTATGCACAGACAGGAGACTCGTTCAGGTAATTAATGTACTATATTCACATGCCTGTAAATACAACAGTGTTTACAGGCATATGAATTTGAACTGTACAGGTCTCAATTCAAATTGTTTCAAAACCAAAAGGGTGAGTTAGGATTGATTCAGGTGCATTAGTCATATCCTTGGTTAATAACCCCAAGGCTGACAGGTCACAAAGCAGGGCCTGTCATGGAGAATAAAGCCTTGGAAAGGGTTTCCAATTTCTTATCTACT